TGCAACTCACCTGATCCGCCGTGTTCAATCGGGCGCTGCATCTGAAGTAAGTGAATGAAACGATTGTGCAATGGTAGGACTTGCTTCGCAATAGATCGACTCTTCTGATTGGTAACTCGTTTTGGATTCCTTTGATCTGAGCTGAGATTCCTGAGATTCTTTTGCTTGGTGCATCCCATTTTTGGACTGTTGTGATTGGTGCTTTTTATCAATAGGCTCTTTTGCTTGGTGGGCCGCTTCTTCGGATGATCTGTCATATGACTGGTCCTGGTTGCGATCATTACTCTGCATACGGCCTGAGGTCGACAAGCGTTCCTTCGAACTCGACCTCACAACAAGCTGATGGTTGGACAGAGTAGGAAGAGTAAATACATGATATATTGAGTAACAAGAGTGCATACATGTCGTAAATGGAAGAGTATATACATGATGGTATTGAGTGAGTTCGTAATAGGAAGAGTATATACATGATATATTGAGTGAGTAACAAGTGTGCACACATGTCGTAATAGGAAGAGTATATACATGATGTATTGAGTGAGTTCGTAATAAAAGAGTACATACATGATGTATTGAGTGAGTGCCGAGAGTGCACACATGACTTGATAAGACATACATACCTACACACGCATACGTATGTACCCACCTACTTTCCAATGCCAAGAACAGTGCCACCCCCGCTTACAATGATATATTCCAAATAGTGTTCTACTGAAAAATATACCCACACCACCAGCAAGCCCCAACACACCACCCATTTAATCTACGGAATCTGGGCCACACGTGCATGACAGCCTCTGGGTTCTATAAATAGAACTCCTCAGCGAAGCATTGCGCGAATGCTGATGAGGTCAGTATGGTCACTCTGTGCACTCGCAAGCGAACACTTTAAACAGCCTACGCATCAGATATGCCGCACTAATGCTACACAGGCCAAACGAGACGGTCTTCATAGTACGGGAACACTGTGTGTGCGGTGTGTGTGTACATGTGGGGGTGGGGCTATACATAAACCGTATATGTGTGGGTGTATGTAGGTGTGTGTGATGTGCGTGTATACATGGTTGTGGGTGGTTCATGTGAATGTATCTCTGTGCGTTGTTCACGGGAGTAGACGTGTAAGTAGCGTGTGTGGCCGTGCGTGGTTAGGTCTGAGGCTGGGCTCAGATAATACGAAGGGACAGATGATACACACACACACACACACACACACGCACACGCACACCACATAACCACCTAACATATGCACTCACCTTGGCCTCCCTTTTGCCGCCCATCCCTGTGTGTTTGTCCTTGACAGTACGTGGTTGTGCATTGAGCGACTTTGTTGAATCGAGTCTTGTCTCTGAGTGGTCGGGTGCAGCAGACGGGGTTCGTCCCATCAGCGCTACGGTTTCCTCCAGACTCCTGTGTGACAGTGTGTAGGTAGAATATATGTGTGCCATTGACTGTGTATGATATTGTGTATGTGTAATATTGTGTGTAGGTATATTGGTCCTATATATGTAATATAGTCTGTGTATGTTATTGTGTATGTCGATGTGTATGTGTATCATTGCCTGTGGCTATATTATTGTGTATCTCTAATATTGTCTTTATTTGAGTAATATAGTCTGTGTATGTTATTATGTATGTACTTGTGTATGTGTATCATTGTGTGAATATACTACCGTGTATGCGTATTAATGCTTATGCTTTCTATTGTATATGCACATTATTGTGTATATATGGATATTTGATGTACACAACTTCAAGCGCAAATCTGTGAGATACAAAATGGGAGGATTTCGTATGTGCATGTGCGTTCGTATGCTTGTATGTCTATGTCTGTGTGTATTCAGATTTATACATGTATATATATATATGTATGTATAAATATATAATAATATAT